GGGGGTTTCTAAAGATATAGCACTGACAATGGAGGAAACATGCACCTTATAACTCAAAGATCATGTTTCAACTTGCTGGAAGGGGGGGGATGGGTTGTTTTAAGGACTGCTAGGGTAATTATAGTTAGTAAAGTGCATAGAGCATGGATGTCTGCTATGTGTGTTGCGACACCTTTGAACCAGGGGCTTATCAATTTTGGGGCATATGAGGTTATTGATGTCATCTTAAAGCTAGTTCATTTGACTTGCCTTCGATGGGTAAAAGTACCGATATATCTTGAATTGAAGTGGAGACATTTGCAATTGAAGGATATGGGGAATCCTGGTGTCAGAGGTAAAATTAGAGAAAAAATGGCCACCAAAGTTTGGTGATTTGGTGACTTCTAAGGCTTGAGACTCCTTGGAAACTGCAAATTTATATTTTTGTGTGTCATTATTCAATATTTTTCAATTAAATCCAGACAGAAATGTGTTTTTAAATGAACATAAAATCTGTTGAGTCAAAAAAAAAGAAATATGTATTTGATAAACTATTGGCAGAAAAATGTTGGTTTCCTAGATTTCATTATTTTGATAAGCACCTGATTTTGGTGCCACAAACTTTACTTTTACTTTACTTTTCCGATCCCATGGCCTCAGCCTGTCGATATGGCCAAGAATTTACAGGGTTTTTATGAGCTGTGTTTTGTTGCTGTATAAAGTATTTCTGATATCTGGGGAGGCAGGAAGGTAGGTGCTACGCAAGTCGCTAAGTGCACGGCAGGAAAAAAAATGGTGTGATAGTGTTTCATCCTTCCATAAACATAAATGCAGTTATGAATTCTCCTCCTCGTTCTCCCCAGCACGTGTCAGCGCAAACACTGGAACCAGCACAAGTCTCAGTGCAGCATGTGCCTGGAGCCCATCGGCTGTCCCTTCATCCTGTCCCTGCCCGCCTCCCGCGCCACCTACGGTCACCTGGTCAAACACATGGAGGGATTTGCCAGGTCAGTGGTGGTGGTCAGTGAGGGTGGTCAGTCCTGGAAACTCAAGACTTTTGTATTGTTTTGTAGAATGTGGTTGGAGTCTGCCATAGGCAGGTTCTGCTTCTGTACTTTCCTGCTATGTTTTCTGTCTTGCTTTTTCATAACACTGACAGATATTATCTTAATATGTTGCTCTTTACTCCAACAACTTTTAAAGATACAATCGAACTGTCCAAGAGGAGAAAAGTGGTTTATTTAAACCGGTGGACATCTTGGACAGTGTCATCGTAATATCGGAAACTGCTTGTGGGGAAGTGGGAAGTGCTCGTTTGTCCAGGCAATTTTCTTGGACAGGCTCGACCATATGTGTCATGATGCGATGGAATCAAGCACTCGTCAATTTTTGGGCATGTGGAGTTGTTGGTATAATCTGAAAGCTGATTTATTTGTCTTGTTTCTAATGAAATAAATATCCATTTATCTTGAATAGAACTCAAGATATTTTTTCGATTAAAGGAAGTGAGGTCGCCTGGTTGCAGTGGTGAAATTAGCGAGAATATGGCCCCCAAATTTGGGTAACTCCAGTAGCGAAAGAGTCTTTAAAAACTGTAATATGACATATTTTATGCCTTTAATCAAGGTTTTTCAGTAAAATTCACATGGAAATGTGTTTTTATATGGACATAAGAGAGGTTACGCCAAAAAATAAAAATTTGATAAAAATTTCCATACTGGCGGAAAAATGCCTGTATCTCCAATTTCGTTAATTTGACTAGCACCTGATTTCACCACACTGCCTCACATATGTTGATGTCAACTGCTCCTACGGTAATTCAAGATTCTCATCTGCGTCTCTCCTCCTCCCCAGATTCTCGGTGGACGTGTTCCAGCCCCCGGTGAAGACGCCCGAGGTGCCCATCCCGTCGGCGACCTCCTTGACCCCCAAGCCTGGCGTTGGCGGCGGACCGGTGCCGGCCAGTAACTTAAGCAGCTCCCTCAGTCAGTCGTGCTCTAGCCTCAACAGCCTGGACAGTCTCTCCTCCGCCAGCAGCACCTGTACCCTCACTGGTGGGTCCACTGAGCAAACAGTTTGAATTTCTGCCCGAGTTTAAGGGGTTTTTTTTTTTCCTCCTTTCATTTCTTCTTCCTCTCACCCCTCACACACATGCACACACTCATTCTCCCC